CAGAGAAAGACAATATAACACGGTGCAGAGAAAGACAATATAACACGGTGCAGAGAAAGACAATATAACACGGTGCAGAGGAAGACAGTATAACACGGTGCAGAGGAAGACAATATAACACGGTGCAGAGGAAGACAGTATAACACGGTGCAGAGAAAGACAGTATAACACGGTGCAGATAAAGACAGTATAACACGGTGCAGAGAAAGACAGTATAACACGGTGCAGAGAAAGACAATATAACACGGTGCAGAGAAAGACAGTGTAACACGGTGCAGAGAAAGACAGTACAACACGGTTCAGAGAAAGACAGTGTAACACGGTGCAGAGGAAGACAGTGTAACACGGTGCAGAGAAAGACAGTACAACACGGTTCAGAGAAAGACAGTATAACACGGTGCAGAGGAAGACAGTGTAACACGGTGCAGAGAAAGACAGTACAACACGGTTCAGAGAAAGACAGTGTAACACGGTGCAGAGGAAGACAGTGTAACACGGTGCAGAGAAAGACAGTACAACACGGTTCAGAGAAAGACAGTATAACACGGTGCAGAGGAAGACAGTGTAACACGGTGCAGAGAAAGACAGTACAAGACGGTTCAGAGAAAGACAGTATAACACGGTGCAGAGGAAGACAGTGTAACACGGTGCAGAGAAAGACAGTGTAACACGGTGCAGAGAAAGACAGTACAACACGGTTCAGAGAAAGACAGTGTAACACGGTGCAGAGAAAGACAGTACAACACGGTTCAGAGAAAGACAGTATAACACGGTGCAGAGGAAGACAGTGTAACACGGTGCAGAGAAAGACAGTGTAACACGGTGCAGAGAAAGACAATTTAACACGGTGCAGAGAAAGACAGTACAACACGGTTCAGAGTAAGACAGTGTAACACGGTGCAGAGAAAGACAATATAACACGGTGCAGAGAAAGACAGTATAACACGGTGCAGAGAAAGACAGTATAACACGGTGCAGAGAAAGACAGTACAACACGGTGCAGAGAAAGACAGTGTAACACGGTGCAGAGAAAGACAGTACAACACGGTGCAGAGAAAGACAGTACAACACGGTGCAGAGAAAGACAGTGTAACACGGTGCAGAGAAAGACAGTACAACACGGTGCAGAGAAAGACAGTGTAACACGGTGCAGAGAAAGACAGTATAGCACAGTGCAGAGAAAGACAGTGTAACACGGTGCAGAGAAAGACAGTACAACACGGTTCAGAGAAAGACAGTGTAACACGGTGCAGAGAAAGACAGTACAACACGGTTCAGAGAAAGACAGCGTAACACGGTGCAGAGAAAGACAGTGTAACACGGCGCAGAGAAAGACAATATAACACGATGCAGAGAAAGACAGTGTAACACGGTGCAGAGAAAGACAATATAACACGGTGCAGAGGAAGACAGTACAACACGGTGCAGAGAAAGACAGTGTAACGCGGTTCAGAGAGAGACAGTATAACACGGTGCATAAGAAGACAGTATAACATGGTGCATAGAAAGACATTATAACACGGTGCAGAGGAAGACAGTGTAACACGGTGCAAAGGAAGACAGTGTAACACGGTGCAGAGAAAGACAATATAACACAGTGCAGAGAAAGACAATATAACACAGTGCAGAGAAAGACAATATAACACAGTGCAGAGAAAGACAGTCTGGTAGTAGTCTGGTAGTCTTAGTTTCAGCTTCATAGCAACGGGTCGCCCCATCTTTGCTCCGCTCCTGTGCTAAGGAAAAACACACAGAATGTTTATCACAGTCCCTTGTGGAAAGATTGACTGACTGCTGTCTCAGCATATCTAGCATACACTCGCATTAAAGCATACGGTAGCCATCCGAAGTGCTAACACAAACAGTCCAACATTAGAAATGCAGTTCATCATTGATGATAGCAGAACTTGTCGCCAACAGATCAGCAGTTGCCCGCGCGATCAATTTTAACCAGATACGGGCACCGCCAACATTGCTCGACAGGCATCACGCCATTTTCTGAATCTACAATTCACACCACCACGTTGGTCACAGTAGAAAATGCATTCCAAATGAAATCCGCAGCTCACAGGGTCACGCCATGCATTCAACTCAGTAGCTGGGCGACGAAACTATATCCAGTCTACAAATGGAGCAAAAAATACTTCAGCCACCGTCCGGCAGAAGCAAAATATTTGCCTCTGCTTCGAACAGCGCCGCTGTCTAGCGTCCATTTTAACCGGAAGTTTTAACCGAAAGACAGTGTAACACGGTGCAGAGGAAGACAGTATAATACAGTGCAGAGGAAGACAGTGTAACACGGTGCACAGGAAGACAGTACAACACGGTGCTCAGGAAGACAGTACAACACGGTGCAAAGGAAGACAGTACAACACGGTGCAGAGGAAGACAGTATAATACGGTGCAGAGGAAGACAGTGTAACACGGTGCAGAGGAAGACAGTACAGCATGGTGCAGAGAAAGACAGTACAACACGGTGCAGAGAAAGACAGTATAACACGATGCAGAAAAAGACGTATAGCACGGTGCAGAGGAAGACAGTACAACACGGTGCAGAGAAAGACAGTACAACACGGTGCAGAGAAAGACAGAATAACACGATGCAGAAAAAGACGTATAGCACGGTGCAGAGGAAGACAGTACAACACGGTGCAGAGAAAGACAGAAACTTTAACAGCTGTGTAACATTATAGCAAAGGCAGAACCAATTGTTGTTTGTGTGTGTGGGTGGTGGGGGACAGGGGGGAGGGGGGTTAGATGGAAAACATATTAGAAGCTAGAATCATGGGTGTCTTCTTCAGTCCACGCAGCTGCAGAAGAAAAAGAAAAGAGGGGGGGCGAGAAGGAGGAGGAGAATAAGAAGGAAAAAAGAAGAAGAAGAAGAACAAGAAGAAGAAGAACAAGAAGAAGAACAAGAACAAGAGGAACAAGAAGACGAACAATAACAAGAATGAGGGAGCGTGGTCTAAAAATAAGGAAGAAGAAGGCGAAAGATGATGAGGAAGATGGAGTGAAACAGCACAGTTGTAGCAGGAGGAGGAGGGAAAGAAGGGGAATGCATGGAGGATAAATGGGATAAGCAGGAGAAGGAAGAAAGATAGGAAGCAAGAGGAAACAGCAACGGTTGTTTCCGCACCAAACATCAACAGATATAGATCCTGCTTAAAATGGAAAATCCCGTATCTGCGACCTTGACCTGGTTGTACTATCTGACTGTTGGTTGACCGGGGTTGGACAAGAAGGCCCGGGAAATCACCTTCACTGTTGATAGTTGTGACAGCGCGTGTTAACCCGGATCTCCGGTGATTTTACCTTTCTTGGAAGCGGGCTGTACCTCTACCAGGGACGCCATTTATCCAGTGGATTCCTGGGCCCTAAAGTGGGTGGGGGATAGACCCACTGCCCCTAACAAGCATGGCGTGAAAGTAGACTAAACATTGCTTTTTCCTTCGAAGTCGAAGTGCATCTTCATGCGACACAAGGAACCAGAGTTAACACACACACACACACACACACACACACACACACACACATATATATAATATATATACATATAAGCCGGATCTGTAAAATGGATATACACGCAAGTTCTGGAAGAAGATTAAAAGTCTAGAAGTGGACGAACAACCAGAACTTTCTTGAAGAGTTTCCAGCGAGCGAAGGCGAAGAAAAAGAAGCTGTGGACGCCAGAACCTGGGGATTTCGGCCGCGCCTGTGCCCTCGTATGTGTAAGGGGACCTAACATTGTCTTACACACACCCCCCCCCCTCCCCTTTTTTTCATCTCTCCCACACAGAAATACACTGTACACATTTTCCCCTGGCACATATAGTCAGATCTCATCCGGTGCATTCCTACAAACACATACTTTGATTGTCTATCTTTCCCACAGGGCAACATTCCTTCACTGCAGCTGTATATATTCCTAGTCCATCTTTCCCACAAGTCAACATTCCTTCACTGCAGCTGTATATATTCCTAGTCCATCTTTCCCACGGGTCAACACTACTTCACTGCAGCTGTATATATTCCTAGTCCATCTTTCCCACGGGTCAACACTACTTCACTGCAGCTGTATATATTCCTAGTCCATCTTTCCCACAGGGCAACATTCCTTCACTGCAGCTGTATATATTCCTAGTCCATCTTTCCCACGGGTCAACATTCCTTCACTGCAGCTGTATATATTCCTAGTCCATCTTTCCCACAGGGCAACATTCCTTCACTGCAGCTGTATATATTTCTAGTCCATCTTTCCCACAGGGCAACATTCCTTCACTGCAGCTGTATATATTCCTAGTCCATCTTTCCCACAAGTCAACATTCCTTCACTGCAGCTGTATATATTCCTAGTCCATCTTTACCACGGGTCAACATTCCTTCACTGCAGCTGTATATACTCCTAGTCCATCTTTCCCACGGGTCAACATTCCTTCACTGCAGCTGTATATATTCCTAGTCCATCTTTCCCACATGGCAACATTCCTTCACTGCAGCTGTATATATTCCTAGTCCATCTTTCCCACAGGTCAACATTCCTTCACTGCAGCTGTATATATTCCTAGTCCATCTTTCCCACAGGCCAACATTCCTTCAACATTCCTAGTCCATGTTTAGCACAGTTCGCCATTGCTTGTCTTATTGCAAGCTAAAACTAGAGGCTCTCACAGTTATGTCCTTTAAAAAGTGAAGATGGAAAGAAAACATGTTTGATTTGTGGATAAGTAGAATGCCTTATATGTAGATGTTTGCGAATACCTTGGTAAGTCCCGCTTTGTCTAATGGAGACCGCCGTGAGAAGATTGAAAGTTGGAGCCACTCGTGTTCTAATTAACTAGCTGGCTCACTTTGTATGCGCGTAGGAGAAATCCCACATTTAACTGGGTCAGTGGGAGAAACCCCAGCAGTGGTGGGTCGACAAGTACGTTCGCCTGGTTCGATGGGTGGGCTAGCACGGAGATATCACATCTGACCAGATTTGGTGCTTGTAAATATTTGACATGCTTGTTTATGGTGGGGCCTCGGCTGTTTGTAGCGTCAGTTTGTGTACAGTTTGTTGGAGGTGGTGTCACATCTGATCCACGTAACAACCCAGTGAAAGCCCTTGTTATCTCTGTTTGTGCGTCAGCTAGATTCTGGAATGTTGCTAGTTTAATGACTTGTCTGTAACTGAGACAGAAGAACAACAGACTGGAGGAGGATCTGGTGTGTGTTGTTGTATTTTCAACCCTATAAAATTCATTCGTTGCCTGTAGTTTGAGCGAGAACCCATGATCTTTCCTTAGCCAACCTTGCATTGTGAACTCTGGCCTATGACCCCGCACCAATCATCTGATAACGCTGGTGAAATACCTGGGTCTCATGACGAGCCGTGCCTAGCTGGGTCTGCTGAGTCACAAGATCATGACTGGTCTAGTGGTGGGGCGGCTCAGCGATCCTGCCTGAGTCAGCTCGCCCAGTCAGCTCGCTGCGCGTGGAGTGGTTGGTGACTGCTTCGTTGAATCAGAGCCGGAATCTCCGCGAATATATTTGCTTTCACGTTGTTCCGTGTTCAGTTTAGATTCGGACATTCGTGATATCAGCTTCGCAGTGTACGGATATAATTGTAGCAGTTCTCTCACAAGTTTCTCTGGACATACTTTCATTCAGCAAATATAAACATATTTACAAATCAGTTTCATTATAAATATGTAAGTTTTATGCATTATGCAGCATTTTAGTTTTTTAATGTAATGATACGGCCGACTTTGATATTTGTTTCTTTGTGACTGAGTAAAAATAGACATGCGCACTATCTTTGCTTTCTGCATGGGAAAGTTTAGCCAGGTTATGATTATGCAATACCACACAAAGGTTGGCCTGTTTGTTGCTGGTGCACTTTGGGTAGTCCGTTCTGGGACTGTCCGTTCTGGGACTGTCCGTTCTGGGACTGTCCGTTCTGGGACTGTCCGATCAAAAGTGAACCAGTTGTGCCAGTCACGAAAACTCGTATAATGTTTTTAAATAAATGAACTGCGCCTGCTTGGATGTCCCTGATTATAGAACACATGATTGGATGTCCCTGATTATAGAACACATGATTGGATGTCCCTGATTATAGAACACATGATTGGATGTCCCTGATTATAGAACACATGATTGGATGTCCGTGATTATAGAACACATGATTGGATGTCCGTGATTATAGAACACATGATTGGATGTCCGTGATTATAGAACACATGATTGGATGTCCCTGATTATAGAACACATGATTGGATGTCCCTGATTATAGAACACTGATTGGATGTCCCTGATTATAGAACACATGATTGGATGTCCCTGATTATAGAACACATGATTGGATGTCCCTGATTATAGAACACATGATTGGATGTCCCTGATTATAGAACACATGATTGGATGTCCCTGATTATAGAACACATGATTGGATGTCCCTGATTATAGAACACATGCTGGCCATATAAAAGTAATTTTATTATTATGATTATTTTTATTATTCTAAGCATAAAGAAACAATAATCACAATAAATAATCTGATCCTAGACTGTTGATACTTTGAGATGAAGAACCTTTGAACGTCTTCGCTTGACTGAATTTCACATAAAAAGATTATTGCATTTCTAACAACGGACTGTTTGTGTTGGCATGTGTGACAACTGTCTTATGCATTGAATACATGTGTATGCAAATGACTTAGCCGTCAATATCTATTCGTTTTTTTTTTTACAAGTAACAGTGATCAGTATTATGTGTGGAGTTCGTTGGCAGAGGAATGGGGCAACGATGGCGAGACCTGTTGCTCTAACGTTGTAACTGTGATTGTCTGATTGCTGGTGTGTTGAGAAGTTGTCCAGGGGCGAGTGTAATGACTTATAATGTAGATAGAAGGCTTACAGTTTGGTTTGATCTATTTCAGGACAAAAGGCGCCAACATGGGGGAGACACTGCAGGAAGTGGTGTGGCAGGCCCTGGAACAGGGTCGCCTCACCTGCGGCGTGCATGACTGTGCCCACCAGCTGGAAATGTAAGTACTTGCTTGTCTTGTGTAGAAGTGCACCGATCATAGGTGGTGCTTGTTTGTGGGTGGCTCTTGTGCAGAAGTGCACCGACCACAGGTAGTGCTTGTTTGTCTGCGTGCAGCGCATGTTTTTTAGTGTGTAGCAGGTAGTCATTTATCTGTAGCCGGTGCTCCGTGATCTGTAGCAAATGTTTTTGTAATGTAGCAAGAATTTTTCTGTGCACAAGTAATAGTCTTTTGTGTGTGTGTAACTGACTTTATGTGCAACTCCCTTCGAGTATACAGTTCATTTCCGTTTATATGTTGCACGTTTCCTTTTTATATGTTGCACTTTCCGATTCTATGTTGCAGATTATCGCATGTACAGTGTCTGTGTTTACTTTCATTTAGACATAAATGTGTCCGTGTTTTTGTGTGTGCATGTAGCACATACTTTTGGGATTGTAGTTGACATATTGCGCAAGAGAACAGACTTTTGACCCCTCCCTTTCTAGCCGTATTCCGGTAGTTTTCTGGAACCAAAGTGAAATAAATGACCGGTCCCCGCCAGCAGAAGGCAGAAGCTGGGCGGACTCACGGACTGGATGCTGGCAGATAGCTCTGTCTGGCTGCTGTTCTTGTCCTAGATGTTTACCGCGTAGATAGGTCCCTGCTGCAGCCAGTCAAACGTCCTTGTTTGTGCGTTTCGCTTACCAAGAAAACAGGTTTCAAAAACGTTGTCAGGGAAGACAACAGGCGCTCATGTCCGGGTTTTAAAAAAAAGGACTCGTTTCAGGACTCGTTCGTAAACGGAATGTTTTCGCAGGGCATGCCGGACTTGAGGTGTTGTGTTCGCAGGAGGCACGTGACAGCAGTAGGATTGCAGAAGGAAATAGGATATTAATGGGTATGTTTATGGTATTAGACACGGCCACGGCCAACTCTAGATATGTACAGCCGGACGTGGACACGGCCAACTGTAGACCCTACACAGGTTGTCTGCAGTACGGCGCGACTGGTTTAAAACATTAGCATAGTCCCCCCCCCCCCCCCCATCCTACAGGATTGCAGTCCGTAAGATTAACAGCTCAAGGACGAGAATCATACACATGCAACAGTATAGCAAAGTTATGATGGGGCACCACTAAATGTGGATGACTGTTAAAGTCTTGACTGCTGACGTTAGAGGTATCCTAGAAGACAGATGAGCCAGCAAAGCCTGGGTCAGGGTCAGGGAGTGACAAACGAAGCGTCAAGACAACTTCTGTCGTTGAATCTGTGTTTACATGTGGGTTGCACGTTTACATGTGGGTTGCACGGTGTGTGCTTAAATTAGAACCGGCGGACGTGAGAGTTTTTGTTGCGGATGTGCCAGCGACAGATTATCCACTGGATCAGGACATACAAATCTGACAGTTTATTGTAGAAGGGGGAAACAAGCAGGCAGGGGCATTTAAAATAGAAAACGGGCCTATTTTGGGCCGTAATGCATCAGCGATTCAAGGACAAGTGACAGGCGGGGCATGTTCACATGTGTACACTGATTGCTTGCAGCCAGGAGTTATGAATATGAACGTTGCAGGCTGCATGGACAATGATGCGGATGGTATATTAATGTTATTTCTTTCCTTCATTCAACTCCCTTCTCTCACTCCAGACAGTATAGTGACACTTTTGTTACTTCTGGTTGCTCCTGTTGTCTCCCCTGCACGTATCGGTATACCACCCACCCCCCCCCCCCCACACACACACGCACGCACACGGTACCGCATTGCACTGTGTCCACTCCAGGATGGTAATCGCCAGGATTAACATCACAAGGATGAGAATCCCACCTGTACAAGTTCCGATAAGCCGCCTCCAACAATAAGGTTATATATTTCAGGGCCCTGGTGGTAACCAAGTGACCCAAAGTTATAACGTCATGTGCGGTTAAACAGGGTATCTGTTATTTGCGATCTTGGTCTGCCAACAAGGTTGAGATTTTGTCATCCCGTGCGTGGGATGTCAATAGTTAATTGAAACTGATGTTATTTGAAAAGCGAATTGACACTAGTGTTTTTTGTCTTTGTTTACAGAGACCCCTACAATGTTATGTTGTGTGTGCTACCGATGGACTCCCTGAAACCTCAGGACGTGTCCACAAACATACATCATATGTTAATAGAAGCCTTTTGTAGGGAGTACGACATACGCCTAATCAAGGTAAGCACTTGGCTTTGATCTCTCACATACAGTACAACAGCTGTTCTGTCTGTTTCCTCACTCGTGTCTTGTCTGTCCTGATAGATCACCGACATACTTAACTAGTGCATGACCTGATGACCCTCAGGTTGTGTCAAACTCTCAAAGAAAATGTTTGAGTGAAGCACTTTCCTCCAGGTTGAGTTTAGAGATTAAGTGTTTATGGTTTACTTACCTTAAAATCATATTGACGTCATACAAGGATTAATTGTAATCTCTCGAAAGCATGACAAACATTTGAATTGTTGTGCTCTGATTACTATCTTCAAAAATGGTGGCTGTATCTGATCCAAATACTAAACATCTGGTCTGTAAAGTCTCCCCCCCCCCTCACCTTTTCTCCACACACACACACTTCTTTTTCTAGTCTGTCTATTGTCATTCCTTCTATTAATAGAACCGAGAAATTTTGCCCAAAAGAGTGGGACAAGTGCTGGTGTTTACAGTATCCCAGACAACGGCTGGTGTTTACAGTATCCCAGACAACGGCTGGTGTTTACAGTATCCCAGACAACGGCTGGTGTTTACAGTATCCCAGACAACGGACTCACAAAGAGAAGCATTCAGCCAAGTTTTGCCTATTTGTGGAAATAGGCACTTATTCAGTTTTGTGATAAAACTCAACACTACTCCACATTTCTGCCCCTTCCCCCCCCCCCCCCCCAAACATTGAAACCTGGCTACGCCTCTGTCTCCAGGGACTGGTACTCTAACCAGATGGACGTCAGTTTCACATCGACTGCTGCACAAACAATCAACTGTATTTAGAGTTAGCAGCCTGTCGTTGTCGGGGCTAATCCTTGTTATATATTCTCATGTTTATGACATCGCTCCTGTAATCGCGGCCTAGCACGCACACACTGGGTTTAGACATTGGGCCAGGAGAAGGCAACAGTCCATCTTGTCTATTTAAGTACCATAGATTTGTTTGTTTGATTAGTTCTGTCCGCGGGGATTTGATGGACGGACACGGCTGCGAGGTGAACTGGACACGTGTTGTCCCGCCACGTGAGCTTAAACGTGCGGGGAAGAAAATCCTGCCATGACCTGGGTGCTCATCTGCGGTCCCTGGTGAAGGTGGGCAGGGTCTGGGAGAACTTTCAGGGAATATGACTCGGTTGGGGTTCTATACAGTTGATGACGTAAGAGTCACGCCTTGTTCCTGGCAATACACACGTGTATTAATTTCTGTTGCAGTCTGTTAACTCCTCCTTGTCTATCTTGTGGGTGAAGGTCAGTAACTGGTTCTGCCCCGGTACTTGTTATGATAGCCTCTATGGTGTGGTAACTAACTCCCCAGAGACTTGTCTTCTGCTCGATTCTTGACTCTTTGAAAATAAAAATGCATTCGTTCATGCTACTCCTGCTGGCCCTACAACCGTTTCTACATATGCAGCAGTTTCCGTGCATGTGGACACATTTGAGATCTCTACAGGATTCTTTCTCCGACTTGATCCTGGTCAGTGTCTGGGGCCCTAGGACAGAATCTCCGTTGTCCAGGTGTTTCACAACCAACCAACCAACCACATACTAGTTTGTGGCAACTTTCAGCTCGCCGTGCTGCCCGCTGTCTGGTGGATACCGCGTTACCAGAATGCTCTCATCTTTTCAGACAGTACGGTTGTCACAGAAATGATGCCAAAATGATCACTGCGTCAGTTAAATCATATGTTTACCAGCAGGTCAGCATCAGATATAGAATCTATGGATCTGTTTTCTTCTCAGATATATCCCCCCCCCCCCAACCCAACCCAATTTTAATCGTGCATGTTTGTACCGTTTCACCGACATGTCTCGGCGGTTTCTTAAATATAGGTCACCATCAGACAAAGGTCACTCATCGGAAAACCCGAGTTACCCATTTGTGAAAATACTCGGGTGTCGCTGGTTGTTTTACTCACGGCCACCAAACTTGATTAGATAATTAGGTCATGTAAACACACTCTGAGGAATCCTCGTGATAAGCAAATCCGGTGAATAAAAGTAGGTGACCACAAAAATAACTGTCTGCAAACTTTCTCGCCGACTTTCCTACCCGAGTGAAAAGTTCGTTGATTTATACCTTGTGGTTATACAAGGGCTCTCGACAGATTACAGTCGAGGTCACAGGTTCGTTCATCTGGAGCCAACATGCACGATGAGATGAACTTTGACACAAGCCTGACCGAGATACCGACCAAGATTCCATTTCACGAACTGTTTCTGTCAGCTGGTCACCTAGTTACTGTTACATGAACCCAGTCTGTCTTGAGTTGTAACTTGTTTTATACCAGCAGTTCACAGTACAACACCGTACAGTTGGCGTTCACTGCTCATTGAGATAAACAGTACACGACATCATGTAGGGTGGTAGAACTGTGTATATATATTAAATATCTACTAAATACACTAGGATTTTTTTTAAACGGTATTTTTCTTCTTTTTAGCTTTCACCGGCTGTAAACTCGGGGGGGGGGGGGGGGGGGGGGTTTGTTCTGTTGATCGTCCACTTCTAGACTTTCGTCTTGTTCTACAACCTTAGATGTGCATGCACGTCCGTTTTACGGGTCTGGCTTATGAAAACTGTTAGTTCCTTGTGTCTCAGGCAGATGCCCTCCGGCTTAAAGAAAACACCCCTGATTAGTCCGTTTTTACGACATGCTTATTAAGGGAAAATGGACGTCCCACCACCCCCACCCCACCTCACACGGGACTGATAAGCAACTGTTGTGGCTGATTTAAACCGTTTTTGTTTTGCTTTTAATTATCACGTGAAATCTTTAACAAACAGAGATACCTGAATATGTTTTCTCTTTGTGTGTTTCCCAGGTGGACAGTTTATCCAAACTTGCAGGACATAGTCAAAGGTAGAACCAACACACCTGATAATGCAGTCAAAGTCACCAGAGGAGCCTCATTCTCTGACGTCAGCTGCCTCATTCTTCAGGTGAGTTTCTTTGCCAGGTTACCCATAACATTGCTAGGTTCCAGTTATATAAGGCCTTTACTAGGCTAACATTGCTTGACTACAGTTGTAGAAGGCCTTCACTAGGCTAACGTTGCTTGACTACAGTTGTACAAGGCCTTCACTAGGCTAACATTGCTTGACTACAGTTGTACAAGGCCTTCACTAGGCTAACATTGCTTGGCTACAGTTGTACAAGGCCTTCACTAGGCTAACATTGCTTGACTACAGTTGTAGAAGGCCTTCACTAGGCTAACATTGCTAGGTTCCAGTTGTAGAAGGCCTTCACTAGGCTAACATTGCTTGACTACAGTTGTAGAAGGCCTTCACTAGGCTAACATTGCTTGACTACAGTTGTAGAAGGCCTTCACTAGGCTAACATTGCTAGGTTCCAGTTGTACAAGGCCTTCACTAGGCTAACATTGCTTGACTACAGTTGTACAAGGCCTTCACTAGGCTAACATTGCTTGACTACAGTTGTACAAGGCCTTCACTAGGCTAACATTGCTTGGCTACAGTTGTACAAGGCCTTCACTAGGCTAACATTGCTTGACTACAGTTGTAGAAGGCCTTCACTAGGCTAACATTGCTTGACTACAGTTGTACAAGGCCTTCACTAGGCTAACATTGCTTGACTACAGTTGTAGAAGGCCTTCACTAGGCTAACATTGCTTGACTACAGTTGTAGAAGGCCTTCACTAGGCTAACATTGCTTGACTACAGTTGTAGAAGGCCTTCACTAGGCTAACATTGCTTGACTACAGTTGTAGAAGGCCTTCACTAGGCTAACATTGCTTGACTACAGTTGTACAAGGCCTTCACTAGGCTAACATTGCTTGACTACAGTTGTACAAGGCCTTCACTAGGCTAACATTGCTTGACTACAGTTGTACAAGGCCTTCACTAGGCTAACATTGCTTGACTACAGTTGTACAAGGCCTTCACTAGGCTAACATTGCTTGACTACAGTTGTACAAGGCCTTCACTAGGCTAACATTGCTTGACTACAGTTGTACAAGGCCTTCACTAGGCTAACATTGCTTGACTACAATTGTAGAAGGCCTTCACTAGGCTAACATTGCTTGACTACAGTTGTAGAAGGCCTTCACTAGGCTAACATTGCTTGACTACAGTTGTACAAGGCCTTCACTAGGCTAACATTGCTTGACTACAGTTGTACAAGGCCTTCACTAGGCTAACATTGCTTGACTACAGTTGTACAAGGCCTTCACTAGGCTAACATTGCTTGACTACAATTGTAGAAGGCCTTCACTAGGCTAACATTGCTTGACTACAGTTGTAGAAGGCCTTCACTAGGCTAACATTGCTTGACTACAGTTGTAGAAGGCCTTCACTAGGCTAACATTGCTTGACTACAGTTGTACAAGGCCTTCACTAGGCTTACATTGCTTGGTTTTTGAAATGCTCAGTTCACGGGAAGAAAGGGAAGACTATACAGAAGTAAAGATATTATTCTGCAGACACTTCCAGAAACTGGGCAGGTGTCAGACCTAGTCTGGTGATCTCTGAGGTCTAATGAAGGTCTCTGTGCAGCAGTTGTTTTTTAGGCTAGGTTTGTTGTTAACTGTGTCACTTCTTGTCTCACAATTCCCTGACAGTACTGTTTGCTTGTTTTCAGTATCCAGATGGGGAGGTCAGTGAGGATGAGGAAAAGATTGCAGAGTTCTACAAAAGCTGCATGTTTAGCGACACCTCACAGACATGTCTCATTGCTTTACCTGATTGAATGTTGTGTCATCATCACTTATCAGGTATGCTTATTTTGGGTTTATTTTTCTGAGTGTGATAAATGGTTATTTATTATTGTTCTTATGTGTCCTGAGAATGCAAACTTTGCAAACCTGAAGAGTTAGGATGTGTTGGCAGAAAGATAAAAATGTCACAGCTGTACTGCAAACAGGCACAACACAATTTTATGCAGCAAAAGGAAATGACCAAAAGAGGGACATCATGGCATGGAGGAAGTTGTGTATCAGACAGGGATATGCATGAGAGAGGAGGTAGATGGACAGACAGGGATGTGCATAAGAGAGGGGGTAGATGGACAGACAGGGATGTGCATAAGAGAGGGGGTAGATGGACAGACAGGGATATGCATGAGAGAGGGGGTAGATGGACAGACAGAATCAAAGCTACTGTAAGAAACAAGTTTTTGAAAAACTTGAAGTTGGGAGCCAAGCTAGTGTAGTCACTGATGTTGGCATGCTGTCCCAGAGGTCTAAGGTTCAGTGCCATATCATTTTGCTGTGGGTTTTGGGATCCTATTTGGGGGAAGAAGGGATAGACCCACTGTCCATAAAAATGCATGTAAAAAAAAAAAACGTACAGATTTTAGCCGCCAGCCACCACTTTAATAAGCCAGGTAAAGAACGCTTCTCCACGCCTTTAGGCGTATTAAACATATAGGGCAAGACCTATATTTTATGGACCAGTTGGCACCTAATTGGTAATATGATGAGCATCACACCAACCACTTTAACTCCATAGGACTGCAGCTGGTATCCCCTCAAGGGTTGGTTGACCTGGGAGTCATTGTTTTAAAAGCGCACTAATAAATGTTATTTCCTGCAAGGAACCAGCATTCGCATTTAAAAAACCAGATTTCTAAATTGGTTGTGCATGTTAAACTCAATTTCTGGAAAAAGACCAAAGTTCACCTTTCTGCCAGATTTTACAGCCGGTGAAAACGAAGAGTAGAAACCAGCATCGAGGCACATTTGTTTAAAAATTGACCTTGGCTATCAGTCACAGCCACAGAGGGACAAGGCAGTCCGGGCAACATTGTCCATCCTGCGACCTGGCCCTAGTTTTCTCACCTTAGTGGACCAGTAGTTGAATGAAACCAGAAGAATTTTAGATTAAAATATTGATATTCTAATCATAATGTATTCAGCACATATCATATGAAACTGATTGTGTCTTTTTTCTCCACAGAAGAGACAATTCTGATGCCTCACACCACAGTTCAGCATCATTGCCATCAGTGGCAACATCACAACCACCCAACAGCCTCATTGTGGGTTTAACGACATCCCCTGGTGGAGCCCGATATCAGTGCCAGGCACACAGATCAGGTCAGCGGATCCCGCTCAGAATGATCGACATGGCTTTGACCTCTAGAAAGGACTTTGTGCAATCGTCAAGATTCACCTGAATCCAAGACTCTTCTTGGAGAAGCTAACAGCAGCAAGAGTGGCTGGAAGATCAAAGCCGCAGACTCGTGTGCTGAACAGCCAGAGATCCTCATGAAGGCATCCTGGGTCCTGAAGTACATAGGGCTGGAGCCAAGCACTGACTTGTTCATACTCAGATCATTTAATTTCCGTGTTTTGATTGGCTAGCAAGAAACATCATGTAACCATGGTGACTTGTGAAGTGACGTTCAATGGCTTGAATGTTTGGGCAGTGGATTTCATGAATCGTGGATTTTCGTCATTTAATGATTGGTCAATATTTCTCCACATCCGTAGCTGATTCACCCACTTATTTCAATGGAGAAAACGCATATTCATGATGTACCTAAATAGTATAGTGTGTGTTCAATAGAATATTTTCAAAATAAATGTTCATATAATAAATTAAAACTTCAACTGTAGAAGATTGTAATGAATTAATCATGTCTACGGACTTGGACTGTCAGATAGGTCCACAGATACTTTTCACCTCAACAGCAAAAACAACACAATGTCAACAGTTTTGTGCTTCTTTGTTATTTGATATAATCCGTGAACAGAATCGCAGCAGGTTTGTCCAGTCCAGCGCTTTATATGTCACATGCCAGGAGATAGCTGCTCCCATAGTTATCGAGTTGCCAAAATACTACTTGAGAAATTTGTTTCTCAGTTTCATCTAATGGGAACTTTGAAGAATCCCAACTGAAGCTTAGTTGTAAATTAAAGAATACACTGCATACATTTTGTATGTGCCTGATGCATCAGAGTTATGAAATGATCCTTCAAAGCCATTTCTGGCCAGCAAGTCGCTCTGCTTCCAGTGCTTACCTCTTCTGCTTAAATAATTAAATAACTGTATAGTATATTTTATTTGATTCAGAAACCATTTGTCAGAAAATATAGGCATTCAAAATGTAGATATTAATTAGAAATGTCAGATTCACCAGTGCAAACTGGCAATTTGTAAGAATAGCTTTCGCAATGTGTTTACATTTTTTTTTTTTTTTATTTTTGCATTTTAAAATTAATTTAAAAAAAAAAAAAAACTTATGTGTGTCTTGGTAGGAGAAGACATTTTTTGTTTAAAGAAAACAATTTGTATCATTTAGTGTCTCTGCGGATAGTTATTCCTTTCACATGTGGCAACATATGTATATCTTCTGATATCTTTATAGTTGTCTACATGTTGATAAATGTGTGTGTGCGCGCGTGTGTTATAGCTACATAAATATGTGTATGTTAGTACATCTTAATACATTTGAACATCTTTATAGTCTCCTATTTATTTGGACAGCTTCATATACCTTTTAGATGGGTTAGATTGCCAAGACAGCAGGCAGTCTTTCATCTTTTCAAATACTTGATTTAGCTGCACATCCATTTATTTATCCTTTTTTCTTTTCTTCACCATTATAACAGCATTGCTGTGGTATTGACATCTTCTGGCAGAGTCATACATCTTCAAGCAAATGTTGTCTGGGGACTCATGCAACATCTTCAAGCAAATGTTGTCCAGGGTCTCATCCAACATCTTCAAGCAGTTTTTGTTCCAGGTCTCATCCAACATCTTCAAGCAGTTTTTGTTCCAGGTCTCATCCAACATCTTCAATCATTTTTTGTTCCAGGTCTCATCCAACATCTTCAAGCAAATGTTGTCCAGGGTCTGTTTGTTTTATTGCTAATTCTGGATTGAAGACGCAACAAAACACGGTCACTGGCTTAGATTGTTTGGACATATTTTTTCTTTTCCATGGTGCACGTTTGTCAACACTATCATATTTTATGCTTCTACACTTCTGTTTGTGTGGTCACAGACCATGAATGTTCATGATGATAACAACTGTAACAGCTAAGACATGTTCAATCATGACCAGTTCCTTTGTGCAATTACTGATTGTCTTTTCCTGTGTTGAGTTTGTTTATTGGCCACTGCCAAATGTTTGCTCAAATTGAGCAGACACACACACACACACATAATTTTGTTTCTCACAGAGCTTTATATACAAAAACTTATGAGTTTTCATTGTTAACACCTTTAGTGACATTTTGATTTTCTTGAGACTGATTTTCTTCTTGCAATATTAATTAGTTGTTTAATGTTTTTGTTGTTTCATCACAGTGAACATGCTCTTTGTTGAATTCATGGCTACAGTTTTCTAAGAATTGAGTAGCAATTCATGTCAGCTTTTCCGAACTGTTGGTGGTGCAGTTAATAAGTTAGATTACATTATTTCATTTTCATGTAATTCCTTTGTATTCGAAATCAGCATTTGTTTTCATAAATGGAAGACATTTGTGTCTTAAACAAAATCAGTATTTCAATACTCTGGTGAAGCTTTCAGCTATTTTCACATCCTACTGAATACAACTTGCCAGATAAGTTAGTGTAAATCAGTCATGTACTACTGGGTATTTATGTTCAGAAAATAAAAACATGATATTATTGTATTTGTAACTGAGTGACCAGGTGTTTTACGTCAGGTCTCTTGTCAGTTTAGGATAGTCGCTGTTTGTATTTGGGTTGGCTTTTTGAAAAATATTTTTGCATTTCAGCTAGCCTGTTTTGTGTGTGTGTGTGTGTGTGTGTGTCCTTGACTAAAAACTCACCATACGAACACTGAATTTGTTGTAATCTTGATAAATTTGTGTTATATGTACATACTGTCCTATCATGGACACTTGATTGTGTATTTGATGATAATAAACTATCATAATGAAAGAATTGTTGATCAGTTGGGGTTTGTTTGTGTGTGTGTGTGTGTTTGCATTCATGTCTCTGGGACATCATCATCATGTGCCTTGTCAAATGGCATCCTCAGATCTCGATCATTCTTGTTCTCACTGAATTCTACAAAGCTTTCTGTAGGCCTGAACTCAATGGACACTTGATATCCCAGCTATATATAACCCTGAGGGTTGAACAAGATATCTTCTGAAAATTACTTCTACTATTTCTGGATGCTACTTTCTTAGACAGCACAGTTTCTCTCCGCCTGCCCGATTCTCTTCTACCGCAGATCTTTGACAAGATGTTGTCCAATGTCTTCTCATCACACGAACAGACAAGAAGTGTTTACACACAAAGATCTGGGACCATGCAGGTGCTAAACTGAATTAAGAGATATGCATGGCATGGCCAGAGGAAGCATCTGAGCAACCTGCCTGCATTAAGCATGCCCAACAGGGCATACACAGTTACATGTAAGCCAGGAATAGACTGACTGCTACACAACTGTTGTCACCACAATGTTGAGGATATGTATAGAGGAGAAAGAATGGACAGAGAGGTGCAGACAACTCTGGAGAGAACGATGTGTCATTTTCAACACTGATTTCTCTTGTGATGGTTTGTTTATTGTCGGTCCTCTAGAAGTCCAAGCTTGCATGCTTACATTCGAGGCACCAGAGTTAGGGTCATCTAGACCCTGAACAAGTTGGAAAAGACAATTTTCTCTCTAACTGTAAGTTAAACAAAACACATTCTTCTTCTTCCAGCTCCCCTCTCTGCCTTCTTTACTGCAAACTGTACCATCCATCACCGTTCTTACCAGGCCAGACACCTTGGCATTTAAAGGGTTCTAAATACTTTGGCATCCGGGACAGGATGCTGTTTATGAGCCAAGTCTCGTCCGACGTGACCAATCCATTCAACCACACCCCCCCACCACCACCCCCACCTCCCACCCAACTCTTTTTTGTCAGGTCTGAACCAGCTGAACACAAAAATGACAACATAAAGACAAGCACGCTGTACTATGTCTAGTGTCAGGTAAACATCTTTAATTGGGGTATTGAAATCATCAGCAAATTCTAACAGTGATGTCATGACAAGATATTATCAAGCATCTTCGAGAGACCACTAATACACTTACTATCATTATTATTGTTCTTGTCTTCGGAGATATCTAGACAAAACAATACAATCCTGGCGACCCTCGTACACAACTGTTAGTGTCCACTGAGAAACATAAATATAATGCAAGGGGACCAGCGGACATAAAACATGCACACATAAAATGGAAACAATATTGATATAACAGATAAATATAAACCTGCCAGGATTTAAAAAAAAAGAAAGATATAGAAAACAGACCAAAACAACGTTGAAAACTAATTATGCAAATAAAACCGACAAAAAGCAATCAACCCTACAGTCAGAGTTGATCACTTGCCAGAGCAGTGGGGGGTTGTCGTGTCTTAGTCCGTTGATTCTTTGTTCAAGGGAGGAAACCAGTTACATCTTTGCTTCGTATGTATACAGTAATTACTTCCCTTGTGTCAAATTACTGACGTTTCCGTTTCATTCGCCCAGGATTTAAACAAAAAAAAATTAAACACTCCACATCCCTTCTGCTTCGGCGTCTCCCCCTCTGGTTTCAAAGAATTTTAACTAAGCGTTTATTTTTTTAACGAAATTTTTAAAAAGATTTTTCTAAAGATTTGAACAGGGTGACAGGGTTGGGTCTAAGATGTTTTGTGTCAACCTCACCGCTGCACACCCGCAGTCGCCACTCTGTGCACACTATGATTCTTTGTTTAGCCTGGACACCACACACTCACTGTGCAGGACAAACTAAGATGTTTGTGTCATAAGCTGCCAGTCGGCCACCTCAACTGTGCAGGTTTGATCTTTGCCACACTGGAGGATTTGAACCCGGATTTCTCGAATCAGCGCTCAGCGTCTAGACTTCAGTCGCCGCTAGGCAGAGAACGTGAACAGACGGTAAATGGCCAGGTAATTTCTAGATTGAAAAGTTAACACACACACACACGCACGCACGCACACACACGTCTATACTGTTAACATTTTCACACCTAGCTGTAAATTTCCACTTCCTATAAATTATAATTTTAAGAGCATGCATTTTCCCTGTACCAACATACGGATGTGAGTCGTGGACTATCTCCCAGTCCTTAATAAAGAGAATGGGGGCTTTTGAGCTGAAATGCTATAGAAAGATTCTCAGAATATCTTGGACAAACAAGAGGAGAAATACTGACACCTTGAAAGATTTGAACATCAAGGAAGATTGGCTAATAAACAGCATCCTGTCTCGGAAGCTGAAATATTTTGGTCATGTCAAACGCCCCAACGGATTGGAAAAAAATATAGCAGAAGGCATGGTACCAGGAAGGAGGGGCAGTGGCCGACCAACACGAAGATTGGTACAGGATATAAGTGACTCTTGAGTATAAAAGTGCATAAGGCGGGAGAGCTGTCGAGAGACCGAGTTTCTTTCAGGCAGATGGTGATGAGAGCGCTTTCTGCAAAGCACCTGCTACATGATGATGATGCTTGTGTGTTAACTTTCTTTGTTTTAACAATGGACATCAAGGCCCATTGAACCAACACACTGGTTTTTTTAACTTTAAGACTTCAATATTTCAATGGAAGAGAAGACATGAAACGTCGAGACGATGAAAATGGCAGGTTATGTTTTGTACTGACACATGGTCCGGCTGCACCTAATCTGACCAGGGGATCTCTGAAACCCACATGTTACTACTGGTATCTAATCCGGAGAGAATTGTGTAGCAGCCTCACTCCGACTGGTGCAAAACCTTTTCTAACGACCATACAAACTAAACGCCAATGTGGCAAAAATGGAGTTGGAACTCAACTCAGCTTTCACAGCCAACATTCACACACTTTAGAAAACAAGGGAAGGCATCACATCTGCTACTCGGATCAAGGCAAACGTTAGAACCCATTGGAACACTTTCAATCTAAGACACAATCCTGAAGACCCAATCAACCCCCAAGACATGAAAGAAACCGACCATTACATTTAGACTGTGCACTGGAAACAACATACGCTGCAGCCATCGTACAAGAAGTTCAAGATCGGGGATTCAGAACTTTGTCCATGTGGACAGACACCACAGAATACTAAACATGTGCGACCTACAAGCTGTCTACATACAGTAGAGCGATCCCAGGTTTGGCAGGTGTTGGCATTGCAATAGAAACCAAGTTGAATGGAGGAGTGAAAGACATTTGTCACACCACAGATTTCACACAGGTCTATGGAATCCTCATATGAAAACCACTAGTGGCCACTTGAGCTAGCAGCCATTTGCAGTGTAGATAATGCCTGGCTGGAGACTACATGTCAGATTATAATTTATATTAAACTCATATTGAACATATTTATAGCCCAGAAATAAACAACAGACTGAAAAACTGTTTGGTGTTTAGAAAAAAGCTCCCGCCAGCCAGCATGGTGTCCGGCCGACAAGACACTTCAGTACTCGAACGTGGGGTTGCCGTGGACGATCTCCGAGGCCATGAAGGCCAGCATACGCCGGTTGACCTTGCCCTTCAGTACGGGGAAGTCTTCAAAGAAGAAGACGTAGGAGGGCATGTGAGGGTTCTTGTCGTCGTCGTAAGTGCCGCCCAGCTGGTACCGGCAGAACTCCTTCACCCGGTCAATGGTCAGCGAGTCGTGACTGCGCGGGATCACACAAGCACACATCTGTCCGACAGACAACAGCCACTGTGTTACTGCGTGCAACAAACCAGTCAGTCTCATTCTAAGACAGTATTGGAGGGCCCATCAAGGGGGGGGGGGTGTCTAAGTAGTATTTATGTGCGTAATAATAATAAACATAATAATAATAATAATTGTGCTGAATTAGAAACAAACAAAGAATTCATCTGCAGTAATATGAAGTGTAATAGAAATACATATTTAAAAAGACAACGTGGTTGCATGACTGGGGAAGTTGTGCTCCCCTCCCCCCCCCCCCCCCCCATGTTTCAAGGCTGGGCGTTTAGAGCCCCTGTATGTGACACTAGTCTCATATGTTTATAGAGTGATGAGTAAAGTGATAGAGGAATAAACCTATAGACGAATAAAGGGATAGAGGTATAAAGTGATAAAGGAACAAATGGATAGAGGAATAAAGCTAAAGAGGAATAAAGGGATAGAGGTATAAAGTGATAAAGGAACAAATGGATAGAGGAATAAAGCTAAAGAGGAATAAAGGGATAGAGGAATAACGCGACAGAGAAATAAAGGGATAGAGGAATAAAGCTAAAGAGAAATAACACGACAGAGGAATAAAGGGATAGGGGAAAAAAGGAATAGAGAAATAAAGTGATAGAGAAATAACGGGATAGAGGAATAAAAAAGGGACAGCAGAATAAAGTAACAGAGGCAAAAAGGGATAAAGGAAAAAGGGACAAAGGAATAAAGCGAAAGAGGAATAAAGTGATAGGGGAATAAAGGGATAGAGGAATAAAGCGAAAGAGGAATACAGGGACAGGGGAATAAAGAATAGAGGAATAAAAAGATAAAGGAAAAAAGAGAAAACGAATAACTGGACAGAGGAATAAAGGGATAGAGGAATAAAGGGACAGGGGAATAAAGCGAAAGAGCACAAAAGGGAAAGAGAAATAAAGTGACAGAGGAGTAAAGTGACAGAGGAGTAAAGTGATAGGCGATAAAGGTTAGATCAAGGAAAGACAGATAAATAAATGATACATAAATAAATGATAGGTTGGTTAATTTTAGACGAACAAATGACAGACGAATGATAGGCAAGTAAAGTGGTAAACGAATGAAGTGACCTTACCAGCCAACTTAACTTTCCACAAGATTTTCTTGTACCCATTTTAGACCAGGTCGACCTATTGTTGGAACCCACGTCCTTCTCGTGTGGTGGGGGGAGAGTGGGGATGGGTTTTAACAGGATCAATGTGCCATATTTTAGGAATGCCTCGAGAAAAGAGGGCATTATAATGAGGAAATGTAAGGCACCTGTGGAAGCGACTCTGAACACTAGTCAAATAACAGTCACCTGGTATATGCGTAGCACTGTCATACAGTCTGTCACGTGCATAGACAACCTTCACTAAGCTAAAAGGGTTCCTTCCGTGGTCCTCTCCGGGCTGCGGCTATCTGAAGGACTGACCTCCCTGAGATTACCAAAATCTGGGTGGCAAGCAAACCGGACAAATACCAGATACCCCGTTCCACCCCAAATAAGTTACAATTATAGCACGTGCAAGGGGCACACCAGCCTGCTGCCACCAGTAGGCATGTGTGGTTAAGGATCATGATTTAACAATTAACGAGAAACAAACCTGTATAATGCCTTTATCGTCCTTGATTGACACGACCTTCACCTTCCAAATGCCTGGGCACTGGTTGACCTTCTCCTCGATGTCCCTGGGGAAAATGGCGGTGTCCCCACGGATGATGGCGTCTGCCTTTCTCCCGAGGACAAACAGACGATCTGTAGGTAGACACATTCACGGACAGACATCAGGTGGACAAGTTTTAACGACTGTTTGCACTTCTTCAAGTGTTTCTAATACATGACGCCAGCCTCATATTGGTTACAACCAATCGGCACTCGATCTAATAATGTCAGTATTATCCAACACCCCCCCCCCCCCCCTTTTTAACATTTTATAATATATATATATATACAGAGAGGGAGAGAGAGAGAGAGAGAGAGAGAGAGAGAGAGAGAGAGAGCAAGAGAGATAAGGGGATGACAGAGATATGGGGGGAATGAAAGAGAGGAAGGGGCAGAGGCAGAGATAGAAGTACGGGGTGGATATGTGTGTACAGCTATTGCTCAAGCCAGCAGAAGGCAGCAGCGACTGCCTCCATCTCCATTCTTATACTAGACGTTGTGATATCATATGCTAGGCTTTTGCTATGAGCTCCATGCACTTTGTCTGCCCCTCAACACAGAACCATTTGTACAATTAATCGCATCACTTGGGCGGGGACTGTCGTGAATTATTTGTTGAACTTCTGATTCTGCAGCGCCAGCTGGCCAGTCCTTGTACTAACGACCCAAAGTGATCAGAACTCTACACAAGTCTGAAACTTGCTCGGACACTTTGACCAACTCCTCACCTCGCACAAATGTATCAAGCCTGCACACATGTCTGATCGTATGTTTAACTTGCACCATCCAAGACTTTCCTCTTTTCAGTCTGTGACCCTTAGATCAACCCAGGACTTCATGCAAGAGGTGCTTCTTGTCCGCAGCTATTCTGAGATATGACTGTGCCTGCAGAACTTTGAGCCTGTCTGCAGTAGTAGGCAATGTAAGCATCTAGCGCATACATACTACCGCGGTATCTCAGAAAGAACATCTAAAGAGGTCAGAGGTGAAGTCAAAGACATGCATAGAAAAAACATCTAACGACGTGAGAAGTGAAATCAAAGTCAAACCCAGAAAGAACATATAACGAGGTCAAAGCTCATTGGATCCTTGCCGCTTACTGTGCTCGTCATAGAAGCCAAGGTCACCGGTGAGGAGAAAGCCGTCTGGGGTGAAGGCCACCTTGGTCAGGTTGGGGTCATTGTAGTACTCGGTGGCCACAAGCTTTCCCTGAAGAAGAATCTCGCCCATCTGCAAACACCAGACACCAGAGGCTGTCGTCAACGTCATCATCACCATTCAATGTTGTCGTCGTCTGATTCGTTCGTCACTCTGATTATCGTCACCACAGTCACCGTCAGCATCATTATTAACATCTCATCATCATCGCTCTTTTTATCGTCACTATTATCATTTCGTAATCACTATCGTCATTATACCACAACTACCACCATGACTAATACTACTACTACTACCACCACCACCACCTCCATTACTACTACTACTACTACTACTACTACTACTACTACTACTACTACTACTACTACTACTACTACTACTACTACTACTTCTACTACTACTACTACTACTACTACTACTACTACTACTACTACTACTACTACTACTACTACTACTACCACTACTACTACTACTACTATTACTACTACTACTACTACTAATACTAATAATACTACTATAACTACAACCACCATTACTACTTATGTTGATAGTGCTACTGCTACTCCTACTATTGCTACTTGTGGTAAGAGTAGTAGTAGGGGTAGTGGTTTGAGGATGTAGTACATCATTATCCTAACCAGCACTTTCCTGATGACCATTACACTGTTACATCTTCATTAAAAAACAAAAACAAAAACCGATTCAGAACTAAGAGCACTTTTACTTCTTATAATCAAGTAACATCCTTACTCCCAGAAAAAAAAAAACACCTGGACACGTCAGATCAAAGATGCTTCCGCTAAAGAACACCCCCCCCCCCCACCCCCTCTCTCCCCCAATCACCACAGGAGGCAATTGAGTTTACATGACATATTGTCATGGCAACACAAAGACGCACTAATTATGGACGGGAGTAACCTGAACAATTCAGAGATGAATGAACTGTCCTTCCTTCAGTTCTGAAAACTCGCAAGTCAGTAAAACTCACTTAAATGAAGACTTAGAAGTCTGGTAGAGCCACAGCTGGACGAGGCCCAATGCGGCTTCAGAGCAAACCGAAGTACTCAAGACCTTATCTTCACACTGAGACAGATGAGTGAAAAAGCCCTCGAATATAAGAGTGAGATGCATTTATGTTTTTTTTTTATCTGGAAAAGGCATTTGACAAGGTACCCTGGAACAAGCTCTGGGACTGCTTGACAGGGAAAAACATCCCAGCACCCCTGATCAGTGCAATACAGAGTTTCTACAAAAAGTGCAGAAATTATGTAAGAACAGCAGACCAAAAGTCAGAAGAATTTAAGACCACCAGCGGTGTTAGACAAGGTGATATTCTCTCACCTTACCTCTTCATTCTTATGATGGATGATGTCATCAAGACCTGTAAGGAGAAGACAAAGAAGTACTCTGTAGGGTACTGGAAGATGAGACCAATCTGTATATCAGAGCTGGCTTTTGCAGACGATGTGGCCCTGATAGCTAAATCAGAGGCACACCTTCAGTCCAACTTATTTGTCTGGAAGGAAGAGCTTGAAAAGAAAGGGATGACCATCGGTGTCTCCAAAACTAAAACCATGGTGATCTCAAGAGAGGAGAAGAAACACCAGATCATGATGGGACAGTATGCGTTGGAGCAGGTTAACCAGTTCAAATACCTTGGAGCTGAATTAGACCAAAATGGAGGCATTAAGACTGAGCTGGCTACACGAAAAGCAGCTGCTGGGAGACTCTTCCAGGCCATAAACCGAGGGTTTCTTAGCAAAAGAGAAATTGGCAAGAGGACGAAAATGGCTGTTTACCGCTCTACCTATGTACCAGTCCTGACCTATGGGTGTGAGTCATGGGCAATGACAACAGCTCACAGAAGCCAGCTGCAGGCCTCGGAAATGAGATACCTGAGAAAGGTGGTCCAAGTGACAAGAAGGGACAAAGTCCGCAATCAGACAATACGTCAAGATCTTGATACCCAGCCCTTACTAACCCGAGTGGATCAGTCACAGTTACGATGGTTTGGACATGTGTGCAGAATGGGAGAAAATCGGCCACCATGGCAAGCATGGGAGGCTAAGAACCAGGGAACCAGACCTCCGGGAGGACCCAGAATGCGCTGGGAAGACAACATCCGACAGTCCCTGACTGACAGAGGACTGGAATGGAACAAAGCCAGAAAGAAAACTGCTGATAGAGACGTCTGGCGATCTCTCTGGCAAACCTCTACACCCCAAGGTAGAAGAGGAGCGACTAAGTAAGTAAGTAAGTGTTGACACCCCCTCCATGACAGGACAAAAGGTTGTCAAGGATCTTCTCGAGCTGTCTTCTCCTGTCTCTCTTTCTCAAAAAATATTGCCAGTGGTCACAACATGTTCAAATTTCAATCTTCTCTCTTTCTGATGTTTGTGATAAGTTGTCTTCGAGCACTCGCCTCTTTCAAAACATCTGGGTTTCTTTTCTTAGCTGTCCAAGGAATTCTAAAGATTCTTCTGAATAACCATACTCCGCGGCCTCAAGATATGATATTGGCTTGTCCAGGATTTACAGCCGTATGTTACTATTTACAGACTCAAAATGAGGCCTAAACGCCAGCTCCTGCTCCAGCTTGGAAAGCACCATCTAAATGTCATCTCCTGTTCTAACTTGGAAAGCGCCATCTAAATGTCATCTCCTGTTCTAACTTGGAAAGCACCATCTAAATGTCATCTCCTGTTCTAACTTGGAAAGCACCATCTAAATGTCATCTCCTGCTCTAACTTGGAAAGCACCATCTAAATGTCATCTCCTGCTCTAACTTGGAAAGCACCATCTAAATGTCATCTCCTGCTCTAACTTGGAAAGCACCATCTAAATGTCATCTCCTGTTCTAACTTGGAAAGCACCATCTAAATGTCATCTCCTGTTCTAACTTGGAAAGCACCATCTAAACGCCATCTCCTGCTCTAATTTAGAAAGTACCAAGAAAAACAACAACAAAGAAAGACAACAACAAAGAAAGACAACAACAAAGAAAGACAACAACAAAGAAAGACAACAACAAAGAAAGACAACAACAAAGAAAGACAACAACAAAGAAAGACAACAACAAAGAAAGACAACAACAAAGAAAGACAACAACAAAGAAAGGCACCTGTAGCATACATAATCAACAAATAAACCGGTTCAAACCGCTACAAACCACTTGACATGTATAAAAGATACACACAGGCAGAGAGCAGCGAAAGAAGAACAGTTGGTGATCAACAAAGAAGCAGACAGAACGCTAATGTCGGTATGGAGCGGGGAACAAGTTCAAGTGGTGCAAAGTGCAGAGCTAGTTCAGCATCTTCTTCTTTTTATTTAATGACCCCCGGCTGTAAACTCTAGCGGAAACTTTTTGTTGTTCGTCCACTTTCGGACTGCTCTTATTTTAGAACTTGGGTTTTTTCGTGCACATCCGTTTTGCAGATGTGACTTTTTTTGTTTGCAGACTGTTGGTCCATTACCATTCAGGCAGATGCACGCCGACTTCGGAACATCCCTCATAATTCGCCTTTTACGACATGTTTATTACAGGAGCAATGGATGTGTTCTCTCAGTCACACACCCCTCCTCCCCCCCCCCCCCCCCCACCCAATCCAGAAATGGTGTCCCAGAACCCAAATGGGTAGTTCAACAAAATAATATGACCATAATTATCACCATTACATGTTATGGCTAGCATGCATGCCTGGCTGCCTGTTGGCATAGGGTTGAATCCTTTGGAAGGAGAAGGCGGTCGGCTTGATGCTGACCAGAGAGAGAGGGGGAGGAGGGAGAGGGACAAAGAGAAAGATAAAGAGACCAAAAGAGTAAGGAAGACAACAATGGACGATGAAAAAGAGAAAAGGAGCGGATTGGAGGGGATGTGAGAGAAAGAAATGGAAAGAGAGAGGGAGATACAGTTGCCGACTCTCGAACTAGTGTCTACCTTTGTAGCTTTGGCCGCAGTTTTGCTGGTGGTGTCGAACTTGGTTCGGACGGTGTTGGCCAGGTCACCGACACAGCCCTCGGTGTACTGCGTGGCGGTGGCCGAGGTCACGATCAGCCGCGAGATGATGCCGGCCTCTGTTGAGTCAGCTCAGATTTATCACATACTACAGGACTGTCTGGGGTCACATACTACAGGACTGTCTGGGGTCACATACTACAGGACTGTCTGGGGTCACATACTACAGGACTGTCTGGGGTCACATACTACAGGACTGTCTGGGGTCAAATACTACAGGACTATCTGGGGTCACATACTACAGGACTATCTGGAGTCACATACTACAGGACTGTCTGGGGTCACATACTACAGGACTGTCTGGGGTCACATACTACAGGACTGTCTGGGGTCATATACTACAGGACTGTCTGGGGTCGCATACTACAGGACTGTCTGGGGTCGCATACTACAGGACTATATAGGGCCACATACCACAGGACTATCTAGGGTCACATACTACAGGACTATCTGGGGTCACATACTACAGGACTATATAGGGCCACATACCACAGGACTATCTGGGGTCACATACTGCAGGACTATCTGGGGTCACATACTACAGGACTATATAGGGCCACATACTACAGGACTATTTGGGGTCACATACTACAGGACTATCTGGGGTCACATACTACAGGATCATCAGGGGTCACATACTACAGGACTATCTGGAGTCACATACTACAGGACTATCTGGGGTCACATACTACAGGACTATCTGGGGTCACATACTACCGGACTATCTGGGGTCACATACTACAGGACCATCTGGGGTCACATACTACAGGACTATCTGGGGTCACATACTACAGGACTATCTGGGGTCACATACTACAGGACTATATAGGGCCACATACCACAGGACTATCTGGGGTCACATACTACAGGACTATCTGGGGTCACATACTACAGGACTATCTATATTTACATAGTACAGACCCTTCTGGGGTCACATACTACAGGACTATATAGGGCCACATACCACAGGACTATCTGAGGCCACATACTACAGGACTATCTGGGGTCACATACTACAGGACTATATAGGGCCACATACCACAGGACTATCTGGGGTCACATACTACAGGACTATCTGGGGTCACATACTACCGGACTATCTGGGGTCACATACTACAGGACCATCTGGGGTCACATACTACAGGACTATCTGGGGTCACATACTACAGGACTATCTGGGGCCACATACCACAGGACTATCTGGGGTCACATACTACAGGACTATCTGGGGTCACATACTACAGGACCACCTGGGGTCACATACTACAGGACTATCTGGGGTCACATACTACAGGACTATCTGGGGTCACATACTACAGGACTATCTGGGGTCACATACTACAGAACTATCTGGGGTCACATACTACAGGACTATTTAGGGTCACATACTACAGGACTATCTGGGGTCACATACTACAGGACTGTCTGGGGTCACATACTACAGGACTATCTGGGGTCACCTACTACAGGAGTATCGGGTCACATACTACAGGAGTATCTAGGGTCACATACTATAGGACTATCTGGGGTCACATACTACAGGACTATATGTTGTCACATACTACAGGACTATCTGGGGAGTCGCTGTGGTGTAGTGGCTGGACACACACCGGCGTACCGGTGGGTCGTGGGCCTTGCCTCCCTGATCGACTCAGCCTTAAAAGGGTACCAGGTATGTTCTGGGAAATAAAGGCGGCCGGTGTGATGTTAAGCACATCATCCATTGATTAGTCTATAAAATATAGATCTAGCCCTGTATGCCCAGTCTTAGGGTGTGGAAAAGGGTCCTTCTGATGAAAGTGGCTGTTGGCAGGTCAAACATGGTCCGCAGAGGCTTCGTCAGCGGCCCGCGACTGATTAGATATTAGTCTGGCGGGTCGTTGCGACCCGACTGTGCGGATAACGACCTGACCTAAAGTCAATTTACACAGGCCCTATGTACTTTAACAATCGTCTTTTTGTAAGAACCTCTAATTGAATTGTAAATGTCAGTCCGTGTCTTCAGTTATCTCTACGGAAATAACAGTGTTCTGTCTCGTTGAAACTTATCTGAACCGTTTAACGTCCTTAAGACAACGTGTGAGATTTTGGGAAGTCAGTGTCTCTTCTTATTATTACTGAAATGCTGTTTTCTGATCCATGGAATTCTGAGAATTTTTCTTAAACATTTCAATTCAAAAGCTTCCATCTTTTTCCTGAGTGACTGAGTGAGAGTTCAAGACTCACAAACTGTAAGTTGCCACAGGAAAAATACAAGATTTTTACTCTAACCAACTTACTAGTGCTTTGCCATAGGTTCTTCATGCTATTTAATCTCTGCATTGCTAATGCAAGTCTTCTTGTGACTTCTTTTGAGCAGTCGCCACTGTTGTTCACTCAAGATCGAAATCTGTTACATTTTCTATTTCTTCATTTTCGATTGTGATACGTGGTTGGTGTGTTGTATTTACTGAGGACAAAATTTTTGTTTATTTTTTAATTTAGAAACCGATTCACTTCTTCGCTGTGTTTTTTTACGGCAATAATTAATTTGTTATAAACCTTGAAGACTGTTGGAAAGGAGAACCGTGTCGTCCGCATATCTGAGTTCTAGTATAGTATTACCTCCCGTTGTTGACTGACTGACTGACTTTCTACCCGACCAGGACATCACGCAAGCGATAAACACCCGATGACACAATGTGCCACCATGTGGATGAGGATCACCCTGGAGAGGTCCCAGAAACAGGGTTCAGACAATTGGCCATATTTATGGCCTGCCTATATTGCGGCCCCTGGCAAAAGCCAGAGTGGGGCTTCAAATAAAAAAAAAAATTACGTCCTAATAAAGGACGTAAGGATAACAATAATCCCTCCCATTGTTAGTGGATCAAAGCTCTCACGTGCCTCATGGCTAATTGCCTTTCTCAGAACATTTTCAGCATCAATGTTCAAGAGGGAGGCTCAAAGGATGCAGCCCTGGCTCCCTCCTTTCTGCACTTTCAACCATTCTGATGTTTGACAAAACATAAACGAAAAATGACAATATGTGACATCCGAGGTACAAGAAAGGCCGCGGCAAACACTAGTTGAGATAGAGTGACTAATGAAGAATTGGGAACAACGGTAAGCACAATGCCTGTAAATGATTTCATAAAACATCAAAGAGTCAAATGGTTTGGTCACTGATCAAAGTGGAACAAAATCAGCCAGCAGCTAGAGCGTAATTAATAAGAACATCCGGCTACCTGGCAAGAGGTCGACCAAGAAAGAGATGGGTCGAGGGAGTAGGAGAGACCCTACAGAAAGACAATACGACATCAACACAGCGACAAAAAACTACTTCTATTTCCTCTCTGGTAGGCTCCAAGGCATAAGCAGTCGGACAAGAAGAATTCACTTACCAATCAGAGAGTAGCAGACGGCGATGGCCTCAGTGACCGGTCCGATGGCGTCCATGGCGGACTGGCTGACATAACCTGTCGTGGTGAGAAGGCGTAGCTTCCAGTGGGGTTCTGGGATGTCCTCACAGTGTGAGGTCAGCATCTGAATCATGGGCGGCTGCAAGCTGGCCACGGTGCACTTCTCTTTCACTATCAGGTCCCATGTCTGCAGATGGCATAAATACTTCTATCAAGAGCTATCATACATCCAGGCAAGACAGTCTCAATGTGCAATTTAGAACAAAATATAAACAAATCAAGAGGGACATCGGTGACACTGTGGGATGGGGGGAGACAAGACAAGAGGGACATCGGTGAGTGACACTGTGGGATGGAAGGAGACAAGACAAGAGGGACATCGGTGACACTGTGGGATGGAAGGAGACAATGCAAGAGGTGACACTGTGGGATGGGAGGAGACAAGACAAGAGGGACATCGGTGACCCTGTGGGATGGAAGGAGACAATGCAAGAGGTGACACTGTGGGATGGGAGGAGACAATGCAAGAGGTGACACTGTGGGATGGGAGGAGACAATTCAAGAGGCAAAATGGTGACACTGTGGGATGGGAGGAGATGAGGCAAGAGGGACATCAGTGACGTTGCAACAATGGAGGAGACAAGTCAAGAGGGACATTTGTGACACTGTGGGATGGGAGGAGACAAGACAAGAGGGACATTGGTGATACTGTGGGATGGGAGGAGACAAGGCAAGAGGTGACACTGTGGGATGGGAGGAGACAATACAAGAGGGACACTAGTGACACTGCGGAATGGGAGGAGACAAGACAAGAGGGACATTGGTGACACTGTGGGATGGGAGGAGACAAGGCAAGAGGTGACACTAGTGAAACTGCGGGATGGGAGGAGACAAGACAAGAGGGACACTAGTGACACTGTGGGATGGGAGGAGAAGGCAAGAGGGGCATTGGTGACACTGTGGGATGGGAGGAGACAATGCAAGAGAGACACTAGTGACACTCTGGCATGGGAGGAGTCAAAACAAGAGGGACATCGGTGACATTGTGGCATGGGAGGAGACAAGACAAGAGGGACATCGGTGACACTATTGGGTCGGAGGAGAAGGCAAGAGGGACATTGATGACACTGTGGGATAGGAGGAGACAAGACAAGAGGGACATTGGTGACACTGTGGGATGGGAGGAGACAAGACAAGAGGGACATCGGTGACACTGTTGGGTCGGAGGAGAAGGCAAGAGGGGCATTGATGACACTGTGGGATAGGAGGAGAAAAGACAAGAGGGACATTGGTGACACTGTGGGATGGGAGGAGACAAGACAAGAGGGACACTAGTGACACTGTGGGATTGGAGGAGACAATGCAAGAGGGACACTAGTGACACTGCGGGATGGGAGGAGACAAGACAAGAGGGACATTGGTGACACTGTGGGATGGGCGGAGACAAGGCAAGAGGTGACACTAGTGACACTGCGGAATGGGAGGAGACAAGACAAGAGGGACACTAGTGACACTGTGGGATGGGAGGAAACAAGAGGTGACACTAGTGACACTGTGGGATGGGAGGAGACAAGACAAGAGGTGACACTAGTGACACTGTGGGATGGTAGGAGACAAGACAAGAGGTGACACTAGTGACACTGTAAGATGGGAGGAGACAAGACAAGAGGTGACACTAGTGACACTGTGGGATGGGAGGAGACAAGACAAGAGGGACACTAGTGACACTGTGGGATGGGAGAAGACAATGCAAGAGGGACACTAGTGACACTGTGGGATGGGAGGAGACAAGACAAGAGGGACATTGGTGACACTGTGGGATCGGAGGAGACAAGACAAGAGGGACATCGGTGACACTGTGGGATGGGAGGAGACAAGGCAAGAGGGACAAAGGTGACACTTTGGCATGGGAGGAGACAAGACAAGAGGGACATTGGTGACACTGTGGGATCGGAGGAGACAAGACAAGAGGGACATCGGTGACACTGTGGGATGGGAGGAGACAAGGCAAGAGGGACATCGGTGATACTGTGGGGTGGGAGGAGAAGACAAGAGGGACATTGGTGACACTGTGGGATAGGAGGAGACAAGAGGGACATTGGTGACACTGTGGGATGGGGGGAGACAAGGCACGAGGGACATTGGTGACACTGTGGGGTGGGAGGAGAAGGCAAGAGGGGCATTGGTGACACTGTGGGATGGGAGGAGACAAGACAAGAGGGACATCGGTGATACTGTGGGGTGGGAGGAGAAGACAAGAGGGACATTGGTGACACTGTGGGATAGGAGGAGACAAGAGGGGCATTGGTGACACTGTGGGATGGGGGGAGACAAGGCACGAGGGACATTGGTGACACTGTGGGATGGGAGGAGACAATTCAAGAGGCAAAATGGTGACACTGTGGGATGGGAGGAGATGAGACAAGAGGGACATCAGTGACACTGCAACAATGGAGGAGACAAGTCAAGAGGGACATTGGTGACACTGTGGGATGGGAGGAGACAAGACAAGAGGGACATTGGAGACACTGTGGGATGGGAGGAGACAAGACAAGAGGGACATTGGTGACACTGTGGGATGGGAGGAGACAAGACAAGAGGGACATTGGAGACACTGTGGAATGGGAGGAGACAAGACAAGAGGGACATTGGTGACACTGCCGGAGGGAAGGGGAAAACAAAAGCAACATTCGTTAAACTGTTGTGGCGGCAGCATTCAAATATAATTTCTTGTAGACAACACAACGAAAGCTTACGTGGACGACGACTTTCTGGGGTGAGCAGTTGATTAGCGTGGACTTGACAATGGTGGATCCTACAGAAATGTAGCCAAAAGGCAAGCCCGGGATCCAGCTGACCGGCCAGTCGTTGTAGATGATGTCCTGGCTCTGCAGACTGAACATGTCCTCCACACGGTGCCCGATCTGCACCAGCATGTTGTGGTTTCGCAACACTAGTTTGTAATGCTCTGGTAAATAATTCATAGCCATTGACAGTTGCAATCATTCAGAAGGATTCTGAAATCTCTCTCTCTCTCTCTCTCTCTCTCTCTCTCTCTCTCTCTCTCTCTCTCTCTCTCTCTCTGCACACACACACACAAAACCACACACTAAATGTAATGGCTTGGCTTGGCTTGGCCCGAGATAGTGACAGAAAATTGTATTCCCATCGTGGTCTCCACCGGTGCCGTATGTATAGTAGAAACTCGACGGAGGGGCGAGCACAACCCGTGCCTTCCGTCTTTAAGTTTCTCTAGAACGCCCTGGTTTCCTAAACAGTTCAATGACCCATCTCAACGCATGTCTGGTGATTCTCTGAATTTTATGTAGCGAAAAATGTGTTACATGGTGTGGAAGCTGGCCTCTGAGTCACGGCCTTAAATTGAGTGACAGAGGCGTCCTAGGCCAGTTCTTTGAACAGTTAGCGCTACCGTCCCCTAAAATGCCACCTTAGAGTGATGGGGCGGTGACTCGGGGTGTGACTCAGGTTAAAATGTCTTAGTCTGTGTTTCATGGAAGATAACAACGAAAGACAATTTAAAAAAAAAAAAAAAAAACAATTACTGCAAGGAATGTGAAAAAAAATATTTTAAGGGATATAACTCTAGAAATAGTTTATTTTAATTATTGTCACAGTAAATAAAAGAAATGCACAGTAACCTGGCCGCCATTATGACTGTTTAATTAAACTCTCCAGCCAAAATGGCAGCTTAAAATTTGACTCGTATATTGGTCACGGCCGGGAGGAGCTAAAGGTTTTATTGGGGGGGGGGGGGGGGGTGGGAACACGCTAAGTACAGAAAGGGTTTGCGATTTATAGCAAATATACAGACAGACAGACAGACAGACAGACAGACAGACAGACAGACAGACAGAAAGTCAGATATCATAGAAAACAACTTACTCTGGTGAGCACACTTGCAGACAAAGATGGCGGCGGGGTCGTGAGCATAGACTCTCTCCACGTAGGTGCCGTCGTGACACCGGATCAGATCCAAGGCAGACTTGACCCCGCAACGACTCGAGGTCTGGGGACAATAGTTTGTCATCTGATTAGCACTGCTGGCGGGCGCCCCGGGGGAGGGGCTGGGGATATTAGCACTGCTGGCGGGCGGCCCGGGGGACGGGGGGGGGAGATTAGACACTGCTGGCGGGCGGCCCAAGGAGGGGGGAGATTAGCACTGCCTGCTGGCGGGGGGGGGGGGGCGGAGCCGGGGGGGGGAGGGGGGGGGAGATTAGCATGCTAGGCGGGCGGCCATCGGGGGAGGGGGATATTAGCACTGCTGGCGGGCGGCCCGGGGGAGGGGGGAGATTAGCACTGCTGGTTGGGGCGGCCCGGGGGAAGGCTTACATGTTGTTAATTAGCACTGCAAGGGCGGGCGGGCGGCCCGGGGAGGGGGGATATTAGCACTGCTGGCGGGCGGGGGCGGCCCGGGGGTTGGGGGGGAGATTAGCACTGCTGGCGGGCGGGGGCGGGCGGCCGGCCCGGGGGAGGGGTTTGGGGATATTAGCACTGCTGGCGGGCGGCCCGGGGGAGGGGCTGGGGATATTAGCACTGCTGTTGGGCGGCCCGGGGATATTGCACTGGGGGGCGGCACGGGGGGCTGGGGATATTAGCACTGCTGGCGGGCGGCCCGGGGGAGGGGCTGGGGATATTAGCACTGCTGGCGGGCGGCCCGGGGGAGGGGCTGGGGATATAAGCACTGCTGGCGGGCGGCCCGGGGGAGGGGCTGGGGATAAACCCTAACAGCTTCCTCTTTGTACGTGGTACTAGAAGGGAAGCCAAGAAATGCCACATTGTACCCTAGCCTGCATGTTGTTACAGCCACTAAGGGAGTTTGTTGTACCCTAGCTTGCATGTTGTTACAGCCATCAAGGAGGTTTGTTGCACCCTCGCTTGCATGTTGTTACAGCCATCAAGGAGGTTTGTTGTACCCTAGCTTGCATGTTGTTACAGCCATCAAGGAGGTTTGTTGCCCCCTCGCTTGCATGTTGTTACAGCCATCAAGGAGGTTTGTTGTACCCTAGCTTGCATGTTGTTACAGCCATCAAGGAGGTTTGTTGTACCTCATCTTGCATGTTGTACAGTCATCAAGTAGGATCGTTGTACCACTACTGCATGTTGTACAGTCATCAAGTAGGTTTGTTGTACCACTACTGCATGTTGTACCGCCATCAGAGAGGTTTGTTGTACCATACCCTTACATCTTGTACAGCCATCAAAGAGAGTTATCGTGAGATTAACTGTCTCCTCCAATCCCCCTGCCCCCCCTCTCTCTCTCTCTCTCTCTCTCTCTCTCTCTCTCTCTCTCTCTCTCCTGTGGAAATAAGCCGCCAAATCCCGCCATGTGTGAACACCTGGCTAGTGTAACTGTGACGGGGGCATTAATTATAAATTCTACGGAGGTTGAACAGTGTAACTGGGATCTAACTTGTGGGTCTAACGTCCAGGTTGAGGTTTTTTCACGGATCTCAGGATGGTATGGTTAAAAAAAAAAGGAGCATCGCTGAGGGGACAAACAGATGGACGGAGCCATCACAGTGGAGATAGTATACATATAAACAAATTTGAAATGTCACTAACTGACAGGACCTTAATGCCGATGATGACGACGACAATGATGATGATTTGACGATATTAATAACGATGTCGATACAGATGGCGCTAATTATCGTGAAAGATATACGTACATAAATGAACATCATCCTGTCCACAAAACGGAAATATTTTGGCCACATCAAGCGCCACGGCGCGACTGGAAATAATAAAAGTAAGGGCATGGAGCCAGGAAAGAGGGGCCGGAGTCGACCAGTAGGAAGATGAGCACGGAATGTTAGTGACAGCTTGAGTCAGAATCTGCACGAGGGGGTAGAGTTGGCGAGAGATCGAGTTTCTTTCAGACAGACGGTGATGACCACACTTACAGGTATAAGGTGTTCCACTCTGAACTTAAACACCTTCTCCACCAGTGGAATCTCCTTGTTGGTCGACCTCTCAATGTCGGCATCGCTGGCCTCCAGGTCATCCTTCAGCTGTAGATACAGGACAGACAACTTCCGGTATTGTTCACCCAGGACAGACAACTCCCGGTATTGTTCACCCAGGATAGATAGCTCCTAGTATTGTTCACCCAGGACAGACAACTCCTAGTATTGTTCACCCAGGACAGACAACTCCCGGTATTGTTCACCCAGGACAGACAACTCCTAGTATTGTTCACCCAGGACAGACAACTCCTAGTATTGTTCACCCAGGACAGACAACTCCTAGTATTGTTCACCCAGGACAGACAACTCCTAGTATTGTTCACCCAGGATAGATAACTCCTAGTATTGTTCACCCAGGACAGACAACTCCTAGTATTGTTCACCCAGGACAGACAACTCCTAGTATTGTTCACCCAGGACAGACAACTCCTAGTATTGTTCACCCAGGACAGACAGCTCCTAGTATTGTTCACCCAGGACAGACAACTCCTAGTATTGTTCACCCAGGACAGACAACTCCTAGTATTGTTCACCCAGGACAGACAACTCCCGGTATTGTTCACCCAGGATAGATAGCTCCTAGTATTGTTCACCCAGGACAGACAACACCTAGTATTGTTCACCCAGGACAGACAACTCCTAGTATTGTTCACCCAGGACAGACAACTCCTAGTATTGTTCACCCAGGACAGACAACTCCTAGTATTGTTCACCCAGGATAGATAACTCCTAGTATTGTTCACCCAGGACAGACAACTCCTAGTATTGTTCACCCAGGACAGACAACTCCTAGTATTGTTCACCCAGGACAGACAACTCCTAGTATTGTTCACCCAGGACAGACAACTCCTAGTATTGTTCACCCAGGATAGATAGCTCCTAGTATTGTTCACCCAGGATAGATAACTCCTAGTATTGTTTACCCAGGGCAGACAACTTCCGGTATTGTTCACCCAGGACAGACAACTCCTAGTATTGTTTACCCAGGGTAGACAACTCAAGGTATTGTTCACCCAGGACAGACAACTCCTAGTATTGTTTACCCAGGGCAGACAACTTCCGGTATTGTTCACCCAGGGCAGACAACTCCTAGTATTGTTCACCTATGACAGACAACTCCCGGTATTGTTCACCCAGGGCAGACAACTCCTAGTATTGTTCACCTATGACAGACAACTCCAGGTATTGTTAACCTGGGGCAGACATCTCACGGTATTGTTTACCCAGGGCAGACAACTCCCGGTATTGTTCACCCAGGATAGATAACTCCTAGTATTGTTCACCCAGGGCAGACAACTCCCGGTATTGTTCACCCAGGACAGACAACTCCTAGTATTGTTCACCCAGGGCAGACATCTCACGGTATTGTTTACCCAGGGCAGACAACTCCCGGTATTGTTCACCTGGGATTTCTCTCCCCTTTCCGACATGCTAAGTTTGAATGTGATTGTTCAAGCATTTCAGCGGAAGATGAATGACCGGTGCTGGAAGTAATATCGCATGTAACTGGCAGATAATCATGGTTGAGTAACAAATAAACTTCTTCTTTTTCTTCTTTTCCTTCTTCTCACAAATGCCCCCCCCCCCCCCCCTTTCCCTCCCTCCCTACCCCAAGCGATTGTCCCCCCCCCACCCACCACACCCCCCACCCCCCCCACTCCCCCCTTCCCACCCCCCCTTCAGATCCCCCTCCCCTCCCCCTAGGATCCCATCTCCCCCCCCCACTTTACCCTTCCCGACCATATCCCCCCCCACGGTATTCCCCCCCCCCCACCCCCCCCCACCCCCCCAACCCACCCACCCCTTCCCCCCCCTCTGCTTCCCGCCTTCCCTCCACTCCCCCCATCCCCTTCCCCACTCCCCAATTCCCTTCCTTCCCCCAACTCCACCCCCCCCCTTCCCGTTCCCCCCACCCCACCCCCTCCCATTTATCCTCAGACTCCTCCCCCAGCCCGGATCCGCCCCCCCCCCCCACCCCTTTCCCGCCCTCCCCCCCCCCCAAAAAAATCTTCTTCTTTCTCCCCTTCCCCCCAATTCCCTTCTTAACCCCCCCCCCCCCCCCCCCCCCCCCCCCCCCCCCCCCCCCCCCCCCCACCTTTCCCCCTCGTAGGATGCCATTTTTAGCTATTTTGAAGCCCCATCCAGGCTTTTGCCGGGCTCCCTAAATATGGCCGGGCCTAAAATGTGGCCTAACGGCTCAATGCGGTTTCTGGGACCTCTCCACGGGTGATGTTCATCCGCATAGTGCCACTTTGTGTCACCGGGTGTTTATCGCTTGTGTGATGTCCTGGTGGGGTACAGCCTAACTACTATTTATTTGCTGCTCTCGCCTTTATAACACGGCGATTAGTACAATGCCTTGTGGTTTACAACTAGGCTGCGATTTCTGGTCCATTCAACCCAACACTTCCAATTTAAAAAAACCTCTTAATTAGTCATTGTTTACATAAAAGGCTCTATTGTTGCCGGACGGCAACAGCTACTGATTTTAGTTTGATTGCACATGCGAAGAAACCTGGCCAGCAAAAAGTTAATAAAAGACTGAGGCACTCGAGATACTTTCATTTTGGCTCTACCGGTCGGCCCGCTATGGTAAAACGCCCACGCTGCCGTTGCTTGACTATATGTGGTCTCATCGCAGTGCAGGTGTGTAAGATCGAGCCGACAGAGAGATGGTTGACTTCATGGCGGTAGTATGGTTCCATAGTTGAATCGGAATTTGTCTCTAGTATTTGTACAGTGTAGAGGTATATCAGTGTGTATCATTGCTCTGAGATATTTCATTTTATTAGTGAAGTGCTTGGCGCGTTGATGGTTGGTAATGTTTTTTTTTTTTAACAGCACTTAGTTTTGTGTCCAGTAAAATAAACAGATGTTCAATGTGGTGCTTATATTTATTAGCTTGATTCAAGGTATAATTTTAGGTAGTTCGATAGCCGCGTGGTATGTCTAGGTGTTTGTGTTGGTCATGTAGTTAGGTTGTTGTTCTGTAACACAGCTATTTCACATATCCTTTGTCTGGGTTTTAGTCAAATATTCCAGGGCCCCTGCAGAGAAGAACCCATTGTCTTTCTTTTACTTTCCTGTTTTTGATGTTCAACGGAGAACTACTACATTTTGTGTAATCACAATTTTCTCTTTCCTTTTTCCTCACTTCTAGTTTCCTTTTCCTTCTTCCCGCTAGCACATACATGGTAACTGTAGGAAAACCAGGGCACTATTGAACTATGGCCGAGAAATCAGCTCCTGGTTGATGGTCGACACTCGCGGGAGCTCGGCACTGGGAGAGATGTCATCCTTACAAGTTTTAGAGTCATACAAGATATAACATCGAAGAATTGAGGGGAACAGAAATCAGTAAACTGTTGACAACACAGAAACATGGACACAGGAACATGGACACAGGAACATGGACACAGAAACATGGACACAGAAACATTTGGACACACATGGACACAGAAAACATGGCAACGGAACATGGACACAGAAACATGGCACACAGAAGAAACATAGAACATGGAACATGGACACAGGAACATGGACACAGAAACATGGACACAGAAACATGGACACAGGAACATGGACACAGACACAGGAACATGGACACAGAAACATGAACACAGAAACATGGACACAGAAACATGGACACGGATACCATGCCCCAGGCTGGTGAGTCTTTCGATGGGTCCACGATGATGTACTTGACCTTGGCCTGACGAATGGGGTCCCAGAAGTGCGGGTTTCTGTCGGTGATGTTGCTTCCCAGCATCACAATGGCACCTGGCAGCAGTTTGAGAGACACAACCACAGTACATGTGACCACACAGTTTTGGTTAGTTATCACAACCAGTTATTGAGTTCATCAATCAGTTTCAACGTTACGGAACGCCATTTAACACATAGTTCGTTCTTCCCTCATCCACACAGAATGTCTGAAATCTTACATGTCTTGGGGGAGGGGCGAGAGACTGCATTCTCGGTAAAACCTATAGCATGCACACGCATTCACTGCATAAGGTGGCCGTTAAAAGTTAGAACACAAATAGTCCGCCATGAGAACTCAGATTCATCGTCGATGGAATCAGAAATTACAGCAAATTAACAACAATTTGTGGAATTATTCCTCTCGAACAAATACATGTGCAATGCCGGAGCAGCAGTTACACGCAACGATGAGTTGTTGGTGATGGCAGCCATTGGTTACCAGGTGACCATCCACACGCGTGGGTCATATGCGCTGTGGAATAAGATACAGATCATCGTCACCAACAGACTTCGGAGCTATTGAAGTCTCCTATACTGGTTACCTCGTGGGCTTCAGTAGAGCATTCACTATTAACCTGGTCTTCAAGCTCTTATATTCTGAATTCACTCAGTCATTTGTGAATAACAAAAATAATTATACCGTAAAAATACCCAAGAGGAGGACGGGCACACTTACCTGCCAGCATTATTCCAAAGTTAGTAATCTCCCTCTCTATGCTTCCCGGGAGGAGGTTGCAGACGACATCGCCCTTGTGCACGCCACAGGCGCGAAGTAGAGAGGAGCATCTCTCCGAGAGGTTGCGCACCTGGACGTTGGTCAGGCTGATTCGGCTTTCGTTGTCGTCATAGAACACTATGGCTTCTGCAATGTTTCCAGGCTATACAGACAAACTATGAGACAGAACACGGTGGCTTCTGCAATGTTTCCAGGTATACAGACAAACTATGAGCAGAAACGGTGGCTTCTTCCAGGTATATAGACAAACTATGAGACAGAACACGGTGGCTTCTGCAATGTTTCCAGGTATATAGACAAACTATGAGACAGAACACGGTGGCTTCTGCAATGTTCCAGGTATACAGACAAACTATGAGACAGAACACGGGTGGCTTCTGCATGTTTCCATACAGACAAACTATGAGACAGAACACGGTGGCTTCTGCAATGTTTCCAGGTATACAGACAAACTATGAGACAGAACACGGTGGCTTCTGCAATGTTTCCAGGTATACAGACAAACTATGAGACAGAACACGGTGGCTTCTGCAATGTTTCCAGGTATACTGACAAACTTCTGCAACGGTGGCTTCTGCAATGTTTCCAAGTATATAGACAAACTATGAGACAGAACACGGTGGCTTCTGCAATGTTTCCAGGTATACTGACAAACTATGAGACAGAACACGGTGGCTTCTGCAATGTTTCTAGGCATACAGACAAACTATGAGACAGAACAGGTAGCTTCTGCAATGTTTCTAGGCATACAGACAAACTATGAGACAGAACAGGTAGCTTCTGCAATGTTTCTAGGCATACAGACAAACTATGAGACAGAACACGGTGGCTTCTGCAAAGGCATGCGGGGCGGGCGGGGGGGGGGGGGTGTTAACAGACCCACTGACTGCCTCCTAGCAAGCATGTCATAAAAAGACTAATTATGGGTGTTTATGGTCTTGTTTTTTATTACGTGAATCTGCATGAGATGAGGAACCAACAGTTTGCATACAAATAAGTCGTATATGTAAAACGAATGTGCAAGCAACAACAACAAAATTCAAGTTCTGGAACAAGACTACTACTCCTTCTTATTTGTTCACCCCCTATCAGCTCCAGCTAAAGGTCGTGGTTGTTCGTCCATTCTGGACTTTGTGTCAGAGCCTGAGTTTTTGCGTGTACACCCGTTTTACTGACTTACTTATGTGTAGTTTGTTGCTCTTTACCGCTGATGTAGATGCACTCCGACTCGGAAAGTCACAAAGAGTCGACGGTATAAATGTTAGGGAGGTGGTGGGTCTTTTCTTGTTTTCTCGCACAATGGGGCCTTGAGGGTCTATTCTGTGGATGGAAAAGGGGGCGGGGTGTACTGTGAGTTTTTGGGGTCTATACTTCAAGTTCCTTAGGGATCACTACTGTGAGTTCCTTTAGGGACTATACTATAACTTCCTTAGGGATCTACACTAGTTTTTTTTTTTTTTGGGGGGTGGGGGGGGGAGAGGGGGGTGGGGGTCTATACTATAAGTTCCTTGGAGTTCTATACTGTGAGTTCTTTGGGGTCTATACTATAAGTTCCTTGGAGTTCTATACTGTGTGTTCTTTGGGGTCTATACTATAAGTTCCTTGGAGTTCTATACTGTGTGTTCTTTGGGGTCTATACTATAAGTTCCTTGGAGTTCTATACTGTGTGTTCCTTGTTCTTCACTCTGAGCTGTTGGGGAGGAAACACACCAGGAGAGGATCAGCGGCATGGGAGACCAGCAAGAAAGGCGGTACCTTTATCCGGATACGTCGACCAGACGGCCATCAGTTTCCCATTAACGGTTCTTAGGTTGACATCTTGTCGGACATCTTGTCTGATATCCTGGGAACATGGCGGTTGGCATTCTCCGGGCAAACACTGGTGCATGCTGGTTGCTCAGCGGATCCCGGTGCCTGGCAGACCGACAAGAGAACGGAATCAAAGTTCTACTACTGTTTGAACCAAAGTTCTACTAATGTTTGAATCAAAGTTCTACTAATGTTTGAATCAAAGTTCTACTAATGTTTGAATCAAAGTTCTACTTATGTTTGAATCAAAGTTCTACTAATGTTTGAATCACAGTTCTACTAATGTTTGAATCAAAGTTCTAGTTCACTAATGTTTGAATCAAAGTTCTACTAATGTTTTGAATCACAGTTCTACTAATGTTTGAATCAAAGTTCTACTAATGTTTGAATCAAAGTTCTACTATTTTGAATGAAGTTCTACTAATGTTTGAAATACAAAGTTCTACTAATGTTTGAATCAAAGTTCTACTAATGTTTGAATCAAAGTTCTACTAATGTTTGAATCAAAGTTCTACTAATGTTTTGAATCAAAGTTCTACTAATGTTTGAATCAAAGTTCTACTAATGTTTGAATCACAGTTTCTACTAATGTTTGAATCAAAGTTCTACTAATGTTTGAATCAAAGTTCTACTAATGTTTGAATCAAAGTTCTACTAATGTTTGAATCAAAGTTCTACTAATGTTTTGAATCAAAGTTTCTACTAATGTTTGAATCAAAGTTCTACTAATGTTTGAATCAAAGTTTCTACTAATGTTTGAATCAAAGTTCTACTAATGTTTGAATCAAAGTCTACTAAGTTGAATCACAGTTCTACTGTTTGAATCAAAGTTCTACTAATGTTTGAATCAAAGTTCTACTAATGTTTGAAATCAAAGTTACTACTAATGTTTGAATCAAAGTTCTACTAATGTTTGAATCAAAGTTCTACTTATGTTTGAATCAAAGTTCTACTAATGTTTTTGAATCAAAGTTCTACTATGTTTGAATCAAGTTCTACTAATGTTTGAATCAAAGTTCTACTAATGTTTGAATCAAAGTTCTACTAATGTTTGAATCAAAGTTTTACTAATGTTTGAATCAAAGTTCTACTAATGTTTGAATCAAAGTTCTACTAATGTTTGAATCAAAGTTCTACTAATGTTTGAATCATAGTTCTACTAATGTTTGAATCACAGTTCTACTAATGTTTGAATCACAGTTCTACTAATGTTTGAATCACAGTTCTACTAATGTTTGAATCACAGTTCTACTAATGTTTGAATCACAGTTCTACTAATGTTTGAATCACAGTTCTACTAATGTTTGAATCAAAGTTCTACTAATGTTTGAATCACAGTTATACTAATGTTTGAATCAAAGTTTTTACTAATGTTTGAATCACAGTTATACTAATGTTTCAATCAAAGTTCTACTAATGTTTTCAACAAGTTCTACTATGTTTGAATCAAAGTTCTACTAATGTTTGAATCACAGTTCTACTAATGTTTGAATCACAGTTCTACTAATGTTTGAATCACAGTTCTACTAATGTTTGAATCAAAGTTCTACTAATGTTTGAATCACAGTTCTACTAATGTTTCAATCAAAGTTCTACTAATGTTTCAATCAAAGTTCTACTAATGTTTGTATCACAGTTCTACTAATGTTTGTATCACAGTTCTACTAATGTTTGTATCACAGTTCTACTAATGTTTGTATCACAGTTCTACTAATGTTTGTATCACAGTTCTACTAATGTTTGTATCACAGTTCTACTAATGTTTGTATCACAGTTCTACTAATGTTTGTATCACAGTTCTACTAATGTTTGTATCACAGTTCTACTAATGTTTGTATCACAGTTCTACTAATGTTTGTATCACAGTTCTACTAATGTTTGTATCACAGTTCTACTAATGTTTGAATCACAGTTCTACTAATGTTTGTATCAAAGTTCTACTAATGTTTGTATCACAGTTCTACTAATGTTTGTATCACAGTTCTACTAATGTTTGAATCACAGTTCTACTAATGTTTGTATCACAGTTCTACTAATGTTTGAATCAAAGTTCTACTAATGTTTGAATCAAAGTTCTACTAATGTTTGAATCAAAGTTCTACTAATGTTTGAATCAAAGTTCTACTAATGTTTGAATCACAGTTCTACTAATGTTTGAATCACAGTTCTACTAATGTTTGAATCAAAGTTCTACTAATGTTTGAATCACAGTTCTACTAATGTTTGAATCAAAGTTCTACTAATGTTTGAATCAAAGTTTTACTAATGTTTGAATCAAAGTTCTACTAATGTTTGAATCAAAGTTCCACTAATGTTTGAATCAAAGTTCTACTAATGTTTGAATCAAAGTTCTACTAATGTTTGAATCAAAGTTCTACTTATGTTTGAATCAAAGTTCTACTAATGTTTGAATCAAAGTTCTACTAATGTTTGAATCAAAGTTCTACTAATGTTTGAATCAAAGTTCTACTAATGTTTGAATCAAAGTTCTACTAATGTTTGAATCAAAGTTCTACTAATGTTTGAATCAAAGTTCTACTAATGTTTGAATCAAAGTTCTACTAATGTTTGAATCAAAGTTCTACTAATGTTTGAATCACAGTTCTACTAATGTTTGAATCAAAGTTCTACTAATGTTTGAATCAAAGTTCTACTAATGTTTGAATCAAAGTTCTACTAATGTTTGAATCAAAGTTCTACTAATGTTTGAATCAAAGTTCTACTAATGTTTGAATCAAAGTTCTACTAATGTTTGAATCAAAGTTCTACTTATGTTTGAATCAAAGTTCTACTAATGTTTGAATCAAGTTCTACTAATGTTTGAATCAAAGTTCCTACTAATCTGAATCAAAGTTCTACTAATGTTTGAAAAGTTCTACTAATGTTTGAATCAAAGTTCTACTAATGTTTGAATCACAGTTCTACTAATGTTTGAATCAAGTTCTATATGTTTGAATCAAAGTTCTACTAATGTTTGAATCAAAGTTTTACTTATGTTTGAATCAAAGTTTTACTAATGTTTGAATCAAGTTCTACTAATGTTTTGAATCAAAGTTTCTACTAATGTTTGAATCAAAGTTTTACTAATGTTTGAATCAAAGTTTTACTAATGTTTGAATCAAAGTTCTACTAATGTTTGAATCAAAGTTTCTACTAATGTTTGAATCACAGTTCACTAATGTTTGAATCACAGTTCTACTAATGTTTGAATCACAGTTCTACTAATGTTTTGAATCACAGTTCTACTAATGTTTGAATCACAGTTCTACTAATGTTTGAATCACAGTTCTACTAATGTTTGAATCACAGTTCTACTA